TCATTCTTGACATGGGAAGCCCCGACCCTCGTGAGGAGGCTGCTTATATGGGCCTCGGCGTGCCCCCGGGCCCCACCCCGGCCATGCCTCCCCGAGTCCAGAACCGGCCCTGTCATCATTCCCGCCTCCAGCCGGGATGACGTCATGTGTGTGTGTAGACCCGCATGGTAGTGACGCCTCCAAGCATAGTGATGTCACACGTGTGCATGTGTACACAGTAGTGATGCTATAATCACTACATCACCCTCCCCCATGTAAAAAAACAGCCGTCCCGGCTGTGACAATACAGAAAAAAAGTGTGCCTCCAACAGCAAGGTTAATAAATAACCGGCGACATAATAATTACCGTGAGAAATATATGTACACACACCGAGAGGGGGGGAAGGGAAGAACGTATGGAACGAGGGGAACCAACAACAACCACATGTACGCACGCACTGACATCTGAGTGTGACTGTTTGAAAACGGTGTAGGCAATCAACAAGGTGTGAGAGTCATGCACAGCGGCCAGTCTTCGAACGAGTTCGCGTGGCCGAGCCCCCAGGGGAGGCGAGCACGCTCTCCCTGGAGGTCCTGGGGGAACTTAAAAAAAAAAACCAAAAAGGGCACAGCCCCTCCCCAGGAGTTGGGCAACAGGATGAGCAGGAGTGACGTACGGGCGCTCCACTCCCCCCTTCAAGTCCACATCCGGTCAGCACAACCAGCGACTCCAAGGCCGGCAGGTGCAGGAATCTTGTGACGAGAAGAAACCACCTTCTGAGGCACAGCACCACAAGCCCGCGCCTCAGCTCGTCGGACACGACAGCCACCCAGCCCAGGGAAGTGGAGATGATCGTATTTCGCCCGCTCTGCTACCGTTCCACCGCACAGGTGGCAATAGGGCGAAGACCGAAAGTCTAACACCCACCTACAAACACCACTTAACATTCCGGACGTCTCCCTACGTCCCAGGTCGAGAAGTCGCACTTCAGGGTCGACCCATGTACTGGCTCAAGGAAGTCGCGCTTCAAGGTCGAGCCAGTATGCTGCACCCAAAGGTATAACGTTGGATGTTGTACAACATCCCGGGTCAAGGAAGTCATCCTTCCAGGTTGACCCATGTACTGGGCAAATAAGTCGCACTTCAGGGTTGCTCCAGTATCTACATTTTTCGTGAAAAAATATGTGAAATTGACGTGACACAAGAAAAAAATGCCTGCTCTTGCCCAGAAATGGTTCACACAAATACCCTTGCACGTACAAAATGGCAGCTGCATGCGTGACCCGCGTCTCCACGGCTTCCCGCGCGCCAAAAATGGCGGCCCAGCGCACGAACATCGCTGCGGTTCCCGTGCTCGCATCATGTCATGTGTTTGCATCCCCCGCCTTCCCGATGCATCATCGCAGCCCGTCGCACACGTCGGCAGTATCGGGGGAAATTTAAACCCGTCTCTAAGACTCGCATTAAAGCAATCTGCTGTCCCAACCGAGCTGTGAAGACACAAGAACACCTCTCTCCAGGACTCGCATTGCAGCAATCAGCTGTACCAACCGAGCCGAGAGAACACACCAACCCCTCTTCCCAAGCCTCGCATTGCAGCATTTAGCTGTACCAATCGAGCTGAGAGAGTAGCTCACCACAAGCTCCCTGAGCCTCTGGCTCACTGTCTTAGACGCGCCTCGGAGTGTCTCGATCTCCGGGCTGTCAGGTCAAACCGTCAGCTATAGCATTAACGGGACCACACTCGTGTCAACACGCAGCAATGACAGGGGCATCCTGGTCAGGATCTTCGCTCCAAATAAACCACAGCCAGCAGCACAATCCAAATCACTGGCACCATATGTTACATCACAATTTAAACGATCCATGCCTATGACAGCAGAGCCACCAACCAAGGCACTCATCCCCCCCCACAATGTCAATTTCACACCAAGACAAGACATACAATTATGAATTAGGATCCTCCCATGAATCGATCCAATGCCAAATGGTCCAAATGATCGACGATGTCGTGCAATGCGGTACATGCAGTATATGTAGTCCGTACATTGTCAATCATTTGGGGCAATGCTCCATCCAGTCCGCACATGGCAACACCCACAAGCAATACTCCAGGCAATCCGTACATAGTCAATAATCACAAGCAAGTACCCAACAGTCCATACACTGTTAACACTCTCGAGCAAGGATCCATACAGTCGATACATTGATAACAATCAAGAACAAAGCTCCATATGGTCTGTACCTTGGCAACAATGACGATCAAAGTTTCCCACAGTCACACATTGCCAACGATCATGATCAAAGTTTCTGACAGTCACACATGAACAATCACGAGCAAAGCTCCATACAGTATTCACAATAACAATCACGACTCCGTAACATCAAAAACGATGTAACAACGCGAGTCATTAACACGGCAACTCACAGGATGTTAAGGGAGCTCGGGACACCCGACAACTAATTAATCATTAACTTCCCCCTGAAGATAACGATCCCGACGCCGTAATGAACAATAAACACTGTTACAAAGCAAACACCCGCACGGGCGCCACGTCAATCTGCCACGCACACAACCGGACTAACACGCTCCACAACCCGGTGCACGCAAGATGGGTGAGGTGTGTTTTTAGGGCCGGGTGCATTGTGTCACGACTCGCCTTAGAGGCTGTGAGGAACGGAGGATGGCAGGGTGGAACTTGAAGAATCTTGGATGGTAAGCGCGGCATCCTCTTGCGACAAGATGCCACCAAGACGGCCGAAGATCTCCCTCCGCAGGTGTTGAAAATTGCGGGAACGGCGTTTTGGCAGGAACCGCGTCCCGACCGGCCGCCAAGATGGTGGCCGCACCCGCAGCAGCGGCGGCGTCCTCTCTCCTCTCGCTCCGGCGCTCTTTCTCTCGATGGCAGCGAAGCAAAGACGTGATGTGCGTCCTGGTGCTCTGCCTGCAGCGCAATCTCCCTCCTTCACCGAGGCTGCAGAACCCCGGGCTGCCCGGAAGATGATCTTCCCGCCGTCCTCGTCGTGTTAAAGCGACCAGGTAAGTTGTAGTAATCGTGCGCATATTATACTGTCTAGGATAACACCTATCGTTAGCCACTTCTGACACCAAATGTAGTGGGTTCTAATTTAGGTGCACACAACTTCTTGAGAGGCAACACTCATTTATTAATGAACACAACAGTTAACCCTTACATTACGCATAGGGTGGTGACCACCGACCTACTCTAGCTAACACACACCTCTCTAACTCTCAGATACTCTAGCGTGACCTAACCAGGTGGGCTACTGGCAGGTCCGCTGACTGGAGGCTTGACTCTTCTTGGCGTCTTCACGATGCATCTTCATTCTTGACATGGGAAGCCCCGACCCTCGTGAGGAGGCTGCTTATATAGGCCTCGGCGTGCCCCCGGGCCCCACCCCGGCCATGCCTCCCCGAGTCCAGAACCGGCCCTGATGTCATTCCCGCCTCCAGCCGGGATGACGTCATGTGTGTGTGTAGACCCGCGTGGTAGTGACGCTCCCCCGCATAATGATGTCACACGTGTGCGTGTGTACACAGTAGTGATGCTAGAATCACTACAAAAGGTTTATTCATGAAGCCATCCAGATATATAAACATAGACATAACTTCAACCAAGAAGATGGATACAAATTGAGCAATCATTGGAAGGGTGTTATTAACCAGGTTAAACCTTAACTGCTTTATAGTTTGCCTTCGTATCCGCATCTCCAGTTTCTACAGCCTCCTACCCTCCAGCCCCGCTCCCTTCCCAGACCCGACATTTTGTCGTACTTGGGCTCGAGTTGGAGCTTGCACTCCCCCTACCACACACCCCCACCCTCTCGATTTCTCCTCCCTGGCTCCTCCCCCCCCCCCCCACCTCTTACATATATAGCCTCGTGTCACAAGCAACCTCCTTTTGCCCACTTCAGCAATTTTATATTGCTGTGGTTGTTTCCACTTGATGACGGGCACTTGTGTTGCACCCGGAACGTCGTGATTTAATTTATTTTATACCTACGTGACTTTACCGAAAGAACCAAAGAGTATGGATTCCTGCACTCACGAAAATTTCAAATCTAGCATATACAATATAGGAAGAATTCCCTTCTCTTGTCTCCACATATACATTATTATGAGCGTGTGTGCAGTACTGGCAAACCATTGTCTATTCGGTAGACTGAGGGCATAGAGATTGCAATTGTAGCTTGCATGTTGAGGTACCAGGTTTCATGCCACATACCACGTGATAATAAATGCTCCAAACTTATCTTTTGGAGAATATAGTATTTTTTTTCCATCGAGTGTTTTGCACTGCGTTTTCACAGGTCTCACAGTGTTCCTGGAGAAATGAGCACTTATCGAATCGGCACTAACAGGGGTCATACCATTGCATATATGGCGATACATTCCCGACAGCTTTATTTCTTTTGTATGAGCAATATATGAGTGCTTCATTGAGGGTATCAGCTCGCTGCCCTGCGAGCAGTGTACTGCTTTACATTGTGTCCAAATTGGCGATCGCAGGTGAAATCACCTTTTCCAGAAGTAGAAAATGAAAATATCACAAATATCATCCACGTGCGACTGTGGCGCAGCAATCAGCAGAACGCATCTTGGACTCTTGTCCACTACGAGCATTCCCCAAGGGCACGAGTGGGATTCACTCATCCTCTTTAGCCAGCAGCTGGATTTATAACCCGTACAAATGAAGAAGTGCACAATTCTGGCAAAATTTCCCGATGATGCTAGATGTAATTACCAGCGAAACGTCCCAGTTCTTAAATTGTAAATGTGGATTTACTCTCCAACACGCCGGTGCGCTGAACAGGTTACTAATTAGCACGTTTTGTTTACATAACAAACCTTAGCAATTGGCTGTGTCGGGTGGTGGCGGGTTAATTACACATTTATACTTACACGATCTAACCCAAAAAAACCTTTATTATGAGTTTATAAAGGATAGTGCTGTGCTTCATATGGATTGACATTGTACCCTGCTGCTGCTATGTGTAGGTGAGGCAGCCATGTGAAGCCTCCATTGCAGGAAAGGCAGACGGGGACCATGGGGCAGCAGGTGTCTCAGGGCGGGGCTGCCAGGCTGTCCGAGAAGATGCTCAAGCAGGCGTGGCTGCTGCGTGAGATCGCCAGCCTCCCCTATGAAGACTTCCTCGGCCGCATCGGTGACATCAATGATACGTGCGTGGATAATGAGTGACAGTAATGTGTGGGTGTGTATGGAGACACAGATGGCTGAGTACCCTGCTGGCCACATAAGCTGCTGTGTCCTGTGGTGTCCTTTATAGGTGCTAGCTCATAGCATTTCCCTGAGGTTCTATAAGGATACACATGAGATTTATTTTTATGCCTGTTTACTGTGGGGAGCGGGAGCATCATGGTGAGTGCGCAGTGCTACAAACCCGGCGACCGGAGTTCAATTCCTGGTCACGGCGAACATTGGTGACGAATATCTGAACCGATTCTGGGCCTCCCCTCGGTCGACTCGGCCTTAAATGAGTACCTGGTGCGGTGTGTAAAACATCGCCACTCGGGGACAAAGACAGCCAGGCAGCCATGGTGCTGGCCACTCACCCTCTCGTGTGCAGTGCCGGCTTTCATAGGTGCTCGCGAACAACACTTGCCCCAACAGCCCATTGAGGCTATACTGGAGATTTTTGTCTTTGTTTAATGTGTGTTATGCTACAACAATCCTGGAAGCCCAAGTATACAGTGAGGGAAAAAAGTATTTCATCCCTTGCTGATTTTGTACGTTTGCCCACTGACAAAGAAATGATCGGTCTATCATTTTTATGGTAGGTTTATTTGAACAGTGAGAGACAGAATAACAACAAAAAAATCCAGAAAAACACGTCAAAAATGTTATAAATTGATTTGCATTTTAATGAGGGAAATCAGTATTTGACCCCTCTCAATCAGATTTCTGGCTCCCAGGTGTCTTTTATACAGGTAACGAGCTGAGATTAGGAGCACACTCTAACCTAATCTCAGCTTGTTACCTGTATAAAAGGCACCTGTCCACAGAATCAATCCAAACTCTCCACCATGGCCAAGACCAAAGAGCTCTCCATGGATGTCAGGGACAAGATTCTAGACCTACACAAGGTCGGAATGGGCTACAAGACCATTGCCAAGCAGCTTGGTGAGAAGGTGACAACAGTTGGTGCGATTATTCGCAAATGGAAGAAACACAAAGGAACTGTCAATCTCCCTCGGCCTGGGGCTCCATGCAAGATCTCACCTCGTGGAGTTGCAATGATCATGAGAACGGTGAGGAATCAGCCCAGAACTACACGGGAGGATCTTGTCAATGATCTCGAGGCATCTGGGACCATAGTCATCAAGAAAACAATTGGTAACACACTACCCCGTGAAGGACTGAAATCCTGCAGCGCCCGCAAGGTCCCCCTGCTCAAGAAAGCACATATACATGCCCGTCTGAAGTTTGCCAATGAATATCTGAATGATTCAGAGGACAACTGAGTGAAAGTGTTGTGGTCAGATGAGACCAAAATGGAGCTATTTGGCATCAACTCAACTCGCCAGTTTTAGTTTTAAAGCTTTCGTGACTGCAAGGATTTATCTTCTTTGGTTCTTTCGGTAAAGTCACGTAGAATGAGAATAAAATAAAACAATAAAGTTCTCACGACGTTTCGGCCACAACACAAGTAGCCGTCCTCAGGTGAAGAAACAGGACTGTCCAGAAGACAGTCCTGTTTCTTCACCTGAGCGCTGTCTTCTGGACAGTCCTGTTTCTTCACCTGAGGACGGCTACTTGTGTTGTGGCCGAAACGTCGTGAGAATTTTATTGTTTTATTTTATTCTCATTCTACGTGACTGCACCGAAAGAACCAAAGAAGATCAACTCGCCATGTTTGGAGGAGGAGGAATGCTGCCTATGACCCCAAGAACAGCATCCCCACCGTCAAACATGGAGGTGGAAACATTATGCTTTGGGGGTGTTTTTCTGCTAAGGGGACAGGACAACTTCACCGCATCAATGGGACGATGGACGGGGCCATGTACCGTCAAATCTTGGGTGAGAACCTCCTTCCCTCAGCCAGGGCATTGAAAATGGGTCGTGGATGGGTATTCCAGCATGACAATGACCCAAAACACACGGCCAAGGCAATAAAGGAGTGGCTCAAGAAGAAGCACATTAAGGTCCTGGAGTGGCCTAGCCAGTCTCCAGACCTTAATCCCATAGAAAATCTGTGGAGGGAGCTGAAGGTTCGAGTTGCCAAACGTCAGCCTCGAAACCTGAATGATTTGGAGAAGATCTGCAAAGAATAGTGGGACAAAATCCCTCCTGAGATGTGTGCAAATCTGGTGGCCAACTACAAGTAACGTCTAACCCAGGGGTCGGGAACCTATGGCTCGCGAGCCAGATGTGGCTCTTTTGATGATTGCATATGGCTCGCAGATAAAACAAAATATTCTCACTTGTTTTAATCCATCCATCGATTTTTCACTGCGCATGTCCTGTTCAGGGCTGCAGGAGCAATTCTCCATTATTTTAATTGGATGATACTGGCCTACGTTTGCCGTTGCTGGGTAAAACAGGTAAACGCCCCCTTTTGAATCAGTCTGAGACTGCGTCTGCTCGGTCATTAGCTCAAAGCTAACCCTTCGACGAAGAAGATGGCGAAAAGAAAAAAAGACGACGAGTATCGTACATTTCAGGACGAATGGACCGAAGAATTCGCCTTTGTGGAGAGAGCGGGTTCTGCGGTGTGTCTAATTTGCAATGACAAAATTACATCGTTGAAACGGTCGAATGTAAAGCGGCACTTCGACACGCGCCACGCTACCTTTGCATCAAAATACCCTGCGGGAGACAGCAGAAAGAAAGCGTGCCAAGAGCTTCTGAGCAGGGTGCAAGCTAGCCAGCAGCAACTCCGCGTATGGACCCGGCAAGGTGACTATAATTCGGCTAGCTTTGCTGGTTCTTTAGCAATAGTGAGGAACGGAAAACCATTCACAGATGGCGAGTATGCTAAAACGTTCATGCTGGATGTAGCCAATGAACTTTTTGATGATCTTCCGAACAAAGACAAGATAATCAAACGGATACAAGACATGCCTCTGTCGGCAAGAACTGTTCATGATCGTACCATCGTGATGGCAAACAAAGTGGAGGAAACGCAAGTGAAGGACATAAATGCAGCGCCGTTCTTTTCTCTGGCTTTGGATGAGTCAACAGACGTGAGCCATTTGTCGCAGTTCAGCATGATTGCAAGATATGCTGTTGGTGACACACTGCGCGAAGAAAGTCTTGCTGTTCTGCCATTAAAAGGGTCCACAAGAGGTGAGGATTTATTCAAGTCTTTCATGGAGTTTGCTCAAGAAAAAAGTCTACCTATGGATAAACTTCTCTCAGTGTGTACTGATGGTGCTCCGTGTATGGTGGGGAAAAACAAAGGATTTGTGGCGCTTCTCCGTGAACATGAAAATAGACCCATCCTAAGTTTCCATTGCATTATACACCAGGAGGCACTTTGTGCTCAGATGTGTGACAGGCAGTTTGGCGAAGTGATGTCGCTGGTCATTCGTGTGATCAACTTTATTGTTGCCCGAGCCTTAAATGATCGCCAGTTTAAAACACTGCTGGATGAAGTTGTAAATAACTATCCTGGTCTGCTTTTGCACAGCAATGTGCGTTGGTTGTCAAGAGGGAAGGTGCTTAGCCGTTTTGCGGCTTGCCTGAACGAAATCCGGACTTTCCTTGAAATGAAAGGCGTCGGGCATCCTGAGCTAGCCGACACCGAGTGGCTCCTCAAGTTTTACTATCTCGTAGATCTGACTGAACATCTGAACCAGCTCAACGTGAAAATGCAAGGCATTGGAAATACAGTGTTATCCCTTCAACAAGCTGTATTTGCTTTTGAAAACAAGCTGGAGCTTTTCATCACGGATCTTGAAACAGGTCGTTTACTACATTTTGAAAAACTGAGCCAATTTAAAGATGCATGCACAGCAAGTGAGCCCATTCAAAACCTTGATCTCCACCAGCTAGCTGGCTGCACATCCAGTCTCCTACAGTCCTTCAAAGCACGCTTTGGAGAATTTCGTGAGCACACTCGTCTTTTTAAGTTCATCACCCATCCAAACGAGTGTTCACTGAACACAGCCGACCTGAATTACATCCCTGGTGTCTCCGTCAGAGATTTTGAAGCAGAAGTGGCTGACCTGAAGGCCTCAGACATGTGGGTGAATAAGTTCAAGTCACTGAATGAAGATTTGGAAAGAATCACACGACAGAAAGCGGAGTTGGCGAGCAAGCACATGTGGACAGAAATGAAAAAACTCCAACCCGAAGACCAGCTGATTCTCAAAACTTGGAACGCGCTTCCTGTCACATACCACACACTGCAGCGTGTGAGTATTGCTGTATTGATCATGTTTGGATCTACGTATGCATGTGAGCAGTCATTCTCACATCTTAAAAACATCAAGTCCAACCTACGATCACGTTTAACGGATGAAAGCCTCAACGCTTGCATGAAGCTTAACCTCACCAAGTACCAACCCGACTACAAAGTACCAACCCGACTACAAAGACATCAGTAAATCCATGCAGCACCAGAAGTCGCATTAATGGTGAGTGTTATAACAACATTATTTAAAAGAATAAATTCAGAGGCTTATACTGACATTTAGTTGAATTCACTTTTAAAATATATTATATGGCTCTCACTGAAATAAATTTCCAAATTTTTTGCTTTCATGGCTCTCTTAGTCAAAAAGGTTCCCGACCCCTGGTCTAACCTCTGAGATTGCCAAAAAGGGTTTTGCCACCAAGTACTAAGTCATGTTTTGCAGAGGGGTCAAATACTTATTTCCCTCATTAAAATGCAAATCAATTTATACCATTTTTGACATGCGTTTTTCTGGATTTTTTTGTTGTTATTCTGTCTCTCACTGTTCAAATAAACCTACCATTAAAATTATAGACTGATCATTTCTTTGTCAGTGGGCAAACGTACAAAATCAGCCGGGGATCAAATACTTTTTTTCCCTCACTGTAGATATGGCTGGTAGCTCTACATTTGTTATTTGATGGGCATCAAGATGCCCAGTATTAAGTAATATTGTACGGTGTTAAAAATAAGGATGCAATTGGTACATTCATTTCTACATTTAATTGGGTTTTTAAAGAGTTAACATCCTGTCAGGTTCTCTTAAGACTCGTTATGCTCATCTAAGCTTGCGCATGCATGTTTGTATTTCCATGTGTGGTTGTGTGTGCAGTGCTGCACTTGCTCAAAAAGTGTGTTAAGGCTATATGGGGGATATTTGTCTTTGCAGTGCACGCAGGTTAACAGGGGGCCAAGACAAGCACCTGCTGTTTGAGGTGCAGCCTGGCTCTGATGCCACACCACTTTGGAAAATCACAGTGCGTGTACTGTGCACCAAGGTGAGGGTTGCCATCATATTTGTGCATGTATGTGTACGTACATGTGTGTGTGCGTACATGTATGTGTGCGTACATGTGTGTGTGAGGCAAAGTATTAATAATAAGTTAGTGCGTTTTGGTGTTTGCACCATTCTTATAGCACGAGGCTATAATAAAGGCGTTGTCACAGTCGGTGTGATATCACTGTTTGATCCCAATGGAGTCATTTGCGGGTAACTTTTCACATTTGGCAAAAAATTGGACCGTGACACCGTCATACAATAGCCTACTTGTTTCGATGGACATTGAAACTACTTTCGTGTATGTTACAGTTTAAATACCCGCAATAATAACCAGGGCAGCCTGTAACAAGTGGCCGGAGTTGCTACTGCTGGAGCCATGTCACCGCCATGATACATGATATCTGGATACTGTCACGTATGGGGGAAATTTAATTCGCTGGGATACTGCGGTGATGCAGAGCACCTCATTTTTATGTATCGGCGACAGATTGGACACAAAAAGAGATGGCTGCTTTCAGTGCAGTATTTACTTAGCACCAAAGCGACATACAGCAAAACACGTCTCAACAACATCCCGTGAAATACAGGTGCGTGTGTGTCGCTGTTAGCACCGCGGTGCTATTACTTGCGTGTCAAAGAGTCCACATTTGTGTATCTCGCTGTAGACAACACCCTGACCCTTACTTGATCTCATGTTCAACAGAGACAAAGATCTCCTGTATATCCTTAACAGACTGTTGGGGCAAGTGCTGTTAGTGAGTAGCACCTATTAAGGCCGGCGCTGTGGTACATGAAGCGGTGGGTGGCAAGCACCACGCCCGGCCGCCTTTGTTTCCTTAGTTGGGAGGCCCAGGGCTGGTTCAGATAATCGTCACTGGTGCTGGCTCTGAGCGGGAATCGAACTCGGGTCGCCAGGTTTGTAGTGCAATGCGCTAACCATTACGCTCGTTCCCATGTGTTCAACTTACACACGATCACAAACAATGCCTTGGTAGTGGCAGTGCCATCATTAGTTGGCTAGTTTAATCTCGTTACGAATCAGACGATCGTCGTCACAGCTGCAGAATGGGGCTGATGAAAATGAATACTAACACTTTCACTCTCAGTGTAAATATGTACATTGATCTAGGCTATTAACACTGAGGTAAATAACCATGTCTGTTTTCAATAGAAAAATTACATTACATATATATGTCTAAGCATCTGTATTATATATATGATTACAGTATAATGCTACGACAAAACGTTATCACTTACGCTTTCTGCCCTGTTCAAATGAGAGGTCTCGGCTGCGGTGATATATCCTCCTCTCTATCTGAACCACCGTCTATATGGGTGAGGCAATTATCATGACCCCTCCCCCACCACAGTGGGCCACCTCATGACTGGCACGTCTGAACATTTTTAAGCGTCGAAGGAATTAACACGTGTATAACATTTTGATTTAAAGCTTTCATGACTGCAGGGATCTATATTGTAGGTTATTTCGGTAAAGTTACGTAGAAGGGAAACAAAATAATAAAAATATAAAACAATAAAATTCTCACGACGTTTCGACTGCAACACAAGCAATCATCATCAGGTGTGAAAACCACAACAAGAAAATTTGAAAAAGTGGCGGGTTTTTTTAACATTAGCACCACGGATAGCGATTTGACAGTTTGTTCAGATGGTCGAGTCCATCTATGTTCGGGTCTTAATTAATTGATCACGCTTAAGGTGGTTTTCAGACCGCATCCATTATTTTTCGTCTCCCCCCTCCTCTTTTCCGAACATAGATGGACTCGTCCATCTGAACAAACTGTCAAATCGCTATCCGTGGTGCTAACGTTAAAATAACCGCCACTTTTTTCAAATTTTCTTGTTGTGGTTTTCACACCTGATGATGATTGCTTGTGTTGCAGTCGAAACGTCGTGAGAATTTAATTGTTTTATATTTTTATTATTTTATTGTTTCCCTTCTACGTGACTTTTCCGAAAGAACCAAGAATACGTGTATAACAATCCGGTAGGAACCAGTCGAAACCATTTTGGAAGCAACTAACATCAAAATAAGCATGAACTTTTGCACTCTTCTGTGCCTCAGATGCTGCTCGTCTTCACATGTCGAGTGGCATGTAGGAAGCAGTCACGGCTGACACGACCGCTGCTGGGGAGCATCGACTTGGATGTAAAAATTATTAAATCCAACTCTGATGCTAGGAACCCAAGTTTGGTCTTACGATTTTCGTATTCGAGTGGAAAATTTATTTAGTTCTTTCTTTTCAGTTACGGTTGTGCGCTTGTAGTTTTCGTTGGTTCTTTGCTCTGAGACAGAGAGCTCCTTTGTGCAGGTGACACGCTCGACGGGGCTCATCGAGGCGTCGCGCATCATGAACTTGCATCAGTTCACCCTGCTCTACCACGAGGTGATGGGCCAGGCTCACTGTGCTGCTGCTATGGATGCTGCTGCTGCTACAGCAGAACCGGTTCCCCTACGGTTGCCCCATCTGACAAGTGACCTCGCGCCGGAACAGGGCATCGCAGACGCAGTGAAACCCATGGTACAACGTCATTAAGTTCTTCGGCGGCTGGGAATCGGGTGTAATTTATCCCTGGCTGGAGAGAAGGTTATCATACAATACAATATAGATGTATTTAGCATCTAAACCTGACTTCATCTCGTGCCAATGTACGTAAAATGTGGGAATATTTGGTAGAGAGGCAATCATCAGAGGGGGGGCACCACGGTGGCGAGATGTTAACTCCCTCGCCTGATATACAGAAGGTCGTGGGTTCAATCCTGACCCTGATGTCTTTATATTTTAAGTTTGCATGTCTCTCTCCCCGTGGTCACGTGGATTTTTCTCGGGGTCCTCCGGTTTTTCCCCACAGGTTTAGAAGCATGTGTTTAGAGTATTCGGTTCCTATAATTTCCATGTGATAAGCCACTTCTCGTTGAGCTATAGTTTGTGGCCAGGTCACTTCTGAAAAAGAGCTACAGTGAGGGAAAAAAGTATTTGATCCCCTGCTGATTTTGTACGTTTGCCCACTGACAAAGAAATGATCAGTCTATAATTTTAATGGTAGGTTTATTTGAACAGTGAGAGACAATAACAACAAGAAAATCCAGAAAAACGCATGTCAAAAATGTTATAAATTGATTTGCATTTTAATGAGGGAAATAAGTATTTGACCCCCTCTCAATCAGAAAGATTTCTGGCTCCCAGGTGTCTTTTATACAGGTAACGAGCTGAGATTAGGAGCACACTCTTAAAGGGAGTGCCCCTAATCTCAGCTTGTTACTTGTATAAAAGACACCTGTCCACAGAAGCAATCAATCAGATTTCAAACTCTCCACCATGGCCAAGACCAAAGAGCTCTCCAAGGATGTCAGGGACAAGATTGTAGACCTACACAAGGCTGGAATGGGCTACAAGACCATTGCCAAGCAGCTTGGTGAGAAGGTGACAACAGTTGGTGCGATTATTCGTAAATGGAAGAAACACAAAAGAACTGTCAATCTCCCTCGGCCTGGGGCTCCGTGAAATATCTCACCTCGTGGAGTTGCAATGATCATGAGAACGGTGAGGAATCAGCCCAGAACTACACGGGAGGATCTTGTCAATGATCTCAAGGCAGCTGGGACCATAGTCACCAAGAAAACAATTGGTAACACACTACGCCGTGAAGGACTGAAATCCTGCAGCGCCCGCAAATAACCCCATTGCTCAAGAAAGCACATATACATGCCCGTCTGAAGTTTGCCAATGAACATCTGAATGATTCAGAGGACGTCTGGGTGAAAGTGTTGTGGTCAGATGAGACCAAAATGGAGCTCTTTGGCATCAACTCAACTCACCGTGTTTGGTGGAGGAGGAATGCTGCCTATGATCCGAAGAACACCATCCCCACCGTCAAACATGGAGGTGGAAACGTTATGCTTTGGGGGTGTTTTTCTGCTAAGGGGACAGGACAACTTCACCACATCAAAGGGACGATGGACGGGGCCATGTACCGTCAAATCTTGGGTGAGAACCTCCTTCCCTCAGCCAGGGCATTGAAAATGGGTCGTGGATGGGTATTCCAGCATGACAATGACCCAAAACACACGGCCAAGGCAACAAAGGAGTGGCTCAAGAAGAAGCACATTAAGGTCCTGGAGTGGCCTAGCCAGTCTCCAGACCTTAATCCCATATACAATCTGTGGAGGGAGCTGAAGGTTCGAGTTGCCAAACGTCAGCCTCGAAACCTTAATGACTTGGAGAAGATCTGCAAAGAGAAGTGGGCCAAAATCCCTCCTGAGATGTGTGCAAACCTGGTGGCCAACTACAAGAAACGTCTGACCTCTGTGATTGCCAACAAGGGTTTTGCCACCAAGTACCAAGTCATGTCTTGCAGAGGGGTTCAATACTTATTTCCCTCATTAAAATGCAAATCAATTTATACCATTTTTGACATGTGTTTTTCTGGATTTTGTTGTTGTTATTCTGTCTCTCACTGTTCAAATAAACCTGTCCATTAAAATTATAGACTGATCATTTCTTTGTCAGTGGGCAAACGTACAAAATAAGCAGGGGATCAAATACTTTATTCCCTCACTGTATATAGCCCAAGTGGGCCTTACCTGGTAAAATAAAAATAGTTACATTTTTACTTTAATATGGTTGACGTGTTTAACCGGGGGTGAGCAGTAATGACTGTTTAAATTATAATTGTTATAGTTTACAACTTATGAAATGAGCTCCAAATTTCTGGATTTGCAACCTACAATAATGTTTGCCCCATTTTCTATTATCCTGTGTAACACTAGACGGAGGATGCAGAAGATTTATCAAAAGCGGAGGAGGCTGGGAGCATCGCGGACTGTGAGATGGAAAATGGGGGAGCCTGCCACGCCTCTCTGTGGATGGGGAGGTTTGCCCTACTGCTCATGCCGAATCGGCAAAATAAAGCAAACCGCTGACATTGTAGGCCTGTATTGGCGACAGGTTGCCGTAGCGGTAACACTTGTGCCTCACAGCAGGAAGAGCCTGGGTTTGGTTCCCGACTCGGGACACCTTTCTGGGGGGAGTATTTACGTTCTCCCGCTGTTCTGCATGAGTTACCTCATGGTTCTCTGGTTTCTTCCCATAGCTAAAAATCATACAATGTAACCGGTATTGCAAAAAAATACTCAATTGGGATCACACAGCAGCAACATCGCTCCCTACTGAGAAAAATTGGCAGGACCCTCCTAAAAAAGTCTTGAGGCTCTGTAAGATTTTTTGGGTAATAAGCATAATAATCGTAATATTAAACACACTATTGTCTAAAATCTTGACTAAAAACTTTCGTGACTGCAGGAATTCATATTCTTTGGGTCTTTCGGAAAAGTCACGTAGATAGAACAATAAAATAATTTAAAAAGGAAAATAAAGTGAATACAAAATAATAAAAATATTCACTTTTTGATTTTATTGTTCTATCTACGTGACTTTGCCGAAAGACCCAAATAATACAATATTGTCTCTTAGCATTATTGTTAAACGATATACAGTTTATTTTCTATTTTGAATATGAGCTCTCTTCGCACCGTCAATCAGGATCAAACAGCTTACGGATGAAGAGGAATGCTGCATCTGCATGGACGGACGCTCAGATGTCATCCTGCCCTGCACACATAGTTTCTGCCACAGCTGCATTGACCGCTGGTACCGCTGTGTGAACATACAACTTCACACACCCTCGCCCACCCACTGACCAAACATACACTCACTTTGTACATATGCAGTGACTTACTCAGAGACACTAAGAGTAGGCGGCACTCTTGTTTATTAACAGCCATAACAGTTCACACTTAGTAACTACGGTTCCCAGTCAGGACAGCTGGCAGACTGCCTGACTGGCGACGCCGAGATGGTGAAGACGGTGACGGCGACAAAGACTCCAGCAGCACGACAGGAACCCACTCCAAACAACAGCCCCGAGGTCCCCTCCCGGGGCCTCTCTTATACCGTCAGCGTGGCCTGGCTCTGCCCTGGCCACGCCCCCCTTCTGGATCCTACTAGCAGGTTCTGGATGTGCCCCTTCCGTAATGTTTCCTCTACATCCCTCTCTCTGGTCTATCACATGACCTGCTGTCAGTCAGGGCTGCTGTCACTGCAGATCCCCTTCCCTGCCAGCAACAAGCGCTATGCTGCTAAGTGACCGATTCTATGTTACTACACATACATTACATAACAGCCGCCGTTCGCCACTAAGTGGCGATGATGTCATCGTGGCGTCTGTGCCAGGCCAGGTGCACTTTGAGGCCACGTGAAGTGTCGAAGGCTCGCTGGCAGGTCATGGAACAGACCCAGGTACTGTGGGTTGACTGACTGAGATGACTGGCAGATGTATCCACTGTGCTCCCCAATGTGCCAACTTGTGTTTTAGACACCTGGCACTCTGCTCATTGTTGTGAGTATGACTCCTCTGCCCTCCATTGTTGCTGAAAGGCAGCGCCCCCAACTGCCCAGTCGCTTCCGTCACGAACCTCCTCCAGAGAGGTCAATCTTGACACTGCTGGTAGCAGTCATTGGCAAATCCAATCAGCTCCACATCCTTCTGTACCGCATCAGTCTGTCTCCTCTCTAGTCTGTGCCACACCCATTTAGCCCCATCTATCCGGCCCAACAGAAGCTGCTTGGGCATGTGGGATTGGGCATGCGGGTTATATGAACTAGCCAAATCAGCATCTTTTGCCGGAGGAGCTCACTGATGGGAACGTGTCCAGATCTTTCAAAGATCTGTGAGCTCAAATACTCCAGTCTGGTTAACAAATTAATCATAAGCAGGCTTGCCTGTGTTTGAGACCTGCTTAAATGTTCCTTTAGAGGGCTACATGTTTTGCAACCATCGAAGGGAAGGCTTAACTGTGGCCAAGAAGTATGAAGTGACAGACCAGGCAACGTCCACACAGCGTTACGCAGCTGACGAAAATATGCCACTCGACTGATTTGGAGTGAGACCTCAGCTGCCGAACCAGAGCTGATCATAAGCACACTGCCCAGGTACGGAAAGTGATCCACTCTCCACAACTGCCCCACTACTCATGGAGAGTGGAGAGATGGGACCATTGGATGACATAACATACCCAGACAGGTGCTTTGTTTTGTGGGGCTGAGCATAAGGCCATATTTTTTAGTAGCATGCTCCATGTTCAGCAGTAGCATCTCCAACTCCTAAGAGTAAGCCAGAATTAAACATAACACGGTTGAAAAATAAGGAGCCATGCCGTGACCAAACCCGGGCATTGATCAGCCTCCCATTGTATTAATGCCAAATGGAAATTTCACCGATACATCCATAGAATTGCGTGGTTAAAGATGTTAAATATTGCAGGGGCCAGAGGACATGCCTGTTACACCCCAAGGTGACCAGAAAATGGCTCTAACTCTGGGCCACACAACTTTTTCTGGGCCTGCCCACCATCAACGTCCTTAATGATTGTGAACAGAGGGTTAAGAACCCCGAAGGCATGACGAATAACCAATAGCCCTGGACTGTTGATGGTTTCATAAGCCATTGACCAGGTCAATAAAGCAGAGATGTAGGTCCCTTTTGAAATGTTCCACACCTCGGCTGTAGCAGACCAATAGAGAATATGGTGTCTGTGCAAGGCTATGTTGAATAATCCTTGCCAAGACCTTCCTTGGCACACTGAGGAGGGAGTTGCCCTGGTAGTTGGTGCAAGCAATGTGCAGTCAGCCTTAAAATTGGAGACCACCAAAGTATCCTAATCCTGCAGAACTCACCCTGCTGTGGATCTGACGATGGTAATGATGTCACATAGTGCATCCTTCATGCAAATGCCACTCTCAGTAGTTCTCTTGAGAGGTTGTCTCTCCCCAGTGCTTTACCTCATCTCAGGCTCTGGGTCGCCCTGTGCTGTTCCTCAACACGAAGGGGTTAGGAGTAATTTACATGCACTCAGTGAACTTATCAACCTGTCAAAGTCCCGCAGAGGAGTATTTTACTCCTGTCCATCCCCGGAGGAGGGGATGCACCACCCCTTACACCCATCCCCTCTCCCCGACCTCCCAGCGTGCGTGCCTTACATCAGGCTCTGTCGGACCATCTAACCTCAAACTCACGTTCCCTGCCTTTAAGTTTGTGGCTTGAAAGTTCTATTCCCGCGAGGGCAAGGAGGGTACTTTGTCACCGTTTCCATGAGGGGGGTTCGTGGTCCTTACATTTTGCTAGAATCTTCCTGACCATGATGTTAAAGGTTTACAGTAAAGTTTGCTGGTGATTTGATGCAGTCTGGTTTAAACCCCCACAGAGTTGTTTCAATTTAGGCGCTGAGTTTTGTGTCTCAGATATTATTCAAGAAGGTGAATAATATTCAAGTAAAATGTATGTACATCTGGGCATGATCAGAAGGAGTGGAGGTGTATCTGGACCGTGCCCGAAGGGCAATCCGGTAACATGTCTGTAAATTTAGCTCTCCTCTCATTGGTTAAATAGGTGCTGTGCATGAATTTAAATTGGATGAGCTTCAGTTGTAGCGATCTTGGGCTGATTTAAGGGGCCCGCCAGATTTGGGTCTATTTACGTTGAGGAATATCTCGGCTCAGAAGCCTGTTTCAGAGCTTCTTAGGAATGGATCTGGTCTGAATTCCCTCACCATCAACCATCAAATACAGAATACGAAAATTAAGGCATCGCAGGCCCAGCACGGTTAACCGAAATATACTCCATGATGTTATCTGAGCTAAGGGGTTTCCCCTTTCCCAAGACCTCACAAAATGCTCAGCAAGCCTGCAGACTTCTTCCTGAGGGTCGAAGATTGGACCACATTCTCTTGATTGATGTTGGAAATTGATGTGGTGCTGAAAGTGCCTTTCTTAATTCTCCGACATGGAATGTTGTAGATGGTGGGAGTCTAGCCGGAACACTTCCTCCATCAGCCAGGGTTTCTGGGGGGTCTGGACTGCTTACCTAATGCAGCCATTTCAGCTGCATGAGTCAGTCCTGAACCTCACCCATTTCCCCTCGGCATCAGGAGGACGGGGGGACGATGTCAGCTCCAGTTGCATGACCCACACGGGCATTAAAGTCACTCATGGGGATAACACTCAACAGGATAGGACAGGTCATGGAAGGCACCTTGATTCATCAACCTTGCCTGCATTCCTCCAGTGATGTCCATCTTCTATAAGCTAACACCAGCACAAATCACACACCCGCTGTGTACATACAAAGATCTCCCGTATAGCCTCTAACAGACTTTAGGGGCAAGTCCTGTTAGCGAGCACCTATGCAGGCAGGAACGGTACATATGGGGGTGGGTGGCCAGCACCACACCCGGCCGCTTTTGTCTCCCCAGTGGCGATGTTTACACACCACACCAGGTACTCATTTGAGACTGAATCATCCTAGGGGAGGCCCAGGACCAGTTCAAATAATCGCCACTGGTGTTGACCGTGAGCGGGAATTGAACTCGGGTCGCTGGGTTCATAGCGCAGCGTGCTAACCACTACACTACCGCGCTCCACATACACACATCTTTTCACACCCACTCATAACATACTCACCCTCAACCAACCACACGAATATACATTTGCCTTGTGGGCTGTCAGAGTTATTTGACTATACAGTACTTAACCATATTGGTCAGTGTGGGTTGAAGGCAGACTTTGGAGCATACAACAACAGTGTAGTGTCTTGTAAAATCACTCGTACTGACACGTTGTAACAGGTCACCTGCTTACACTTTATTAGCCTATTCTTGCACCAGTTGTAGGCACTCCTATAAATGTCACTATGGTCACTTCTGTTAACCAATTCCCACTCTTATCTACGCTACACCTTGCTAACCTGCACACAGCAGCCCACGCTCTCGGCAGCTCCACACTCAAGGCTTTGCACGCAGCAGCTTTTGCTGTCAGCAGCTCTGCACTCAAGGCTCCGCACACAGCAGTGCTCACACAGAGGCTTGCACACAGCAGCGCTCAAACAGAGGCTTGCACACAGCAGCGCTCAAACAGAGGCTTTCACACAGCAGCGCTCCCGCAGCCTACGATCCCTCAAACCCACTCACTCTTCCGACTCTGGCGGGGGGAGCAACCATCACCCGCCCGGCGACTCATGAGGGTTGAGGTCCGTTTCCGGCAGCGGCAAGACGTCTTCTCCCTCTTGCTCCCCGCAACACGAACTCCTGCTCCGCTCTCACACACGTCCTTATATCCCCCTCCCAATTGTCCAGCTCCTCCCTTGTGTCTCTTTATGGCCAGACAGACTGGTGCCTGTCTGGCCATAAATCACCCCTTATCGCACGTCTCCCTGGCAACACCTCCGGTGTTAGCGTGCAATCTCGGACCGACCCGGTCTGAACCTGCTTCTCTCCTAATTTAGGTGGCGGTTTGCCCGTGCAACGTTATGTTAAACACGCGCACGTGTTTGTCCTTGGTTGCCCTCGGCCAACAGTGTGCGCCACATTTCACCACACTACATCATCCCCCCCCCCCCCCCCACAAATAAAAAACCCAGCTGTCCCGGCTGTAAATATACATAACCGTGCGCGTATGCATCGCGACAACCCTTAACAACAACGCTGTCATGACCAGTGACCGACCCCTAACACAATCGTAAGCAGGGAATATGAAATCAATGAAGGGAATGTGAAATCAACAAAAAACGACGCATTGTGAACAAGTGCATGGCATCC